CAAACCTGCAATAATTAAATGTTAAACAACACAAATATCCATTATGTATTTTAAGCATTCTATTAACCAATGTCTTTGCTTCTGACCTTCGATGATTCAGTTCAACCGTACTAATAAGCAAAAAGTGTTGAAATGTCTTCTGCATTCTAATGTACTTTCCCTTCAGCCTGAGGCTTATTCATTTCACTTTTGGTGTGCAAAGGCTTTTATATTTGCCAAAAATATAACTTTTTTATTTTAAAAACAAACAAGCGAGCCCTGTCCAGATTTAAAAAGTAACGCAAAAGTAACGTAACGCATTACTTTCCATAAAAAGTAACTAACGTAATTAGTTACTTTTTTATGGCGTAATGCAATATTGTAATGCATTACTTTTAAAAGTATCTTTCCCCAACACTGCTGACGGCATTATGTGTATTAAACTATCGATAATACATAAGCAAACCATGTAAAATTGTAAACCGCAAAAGTACAGGCACCTCAGTAGATTGTACCACAAAAAAAGCATGGAACGATATCTATTTTCGATCAGTTAAATTATTAATCTGATATTTATATTAAATTCACTTATACAATATGAGTTTACAAATATATATGTGGAAAATAAATTACCCCGCTTTATCGCATATCATATACAAACTCTTAAATATTCATATCAGAATCGCCAGATCATTAGCCAGTCACGTGATGCGATCTGGCCGCCTCATTGGACGCTCCAATAGAAATCTACGTCTGAGTTAATTATCGTCCTCATTCTTAAAGGGACAGTGCACGTTAAAAATGCCGTCGTTTACAAACCTGGACAGACGCCATTTATAATTTGATGCAGCTGAAAACGAGTCTGAGGGATGGACAGTTTTTAGATGGCATGTACTGTATAAAATGTCCTAAATCAAATTGCAATGTTTGTATTTGTTTCTTTACTACTTTTATATCCCTCACTGCTTCGTTTTCATTCCCGCCAAAATTAAACATGGCGCTACCCTAACGAAAACCATCAACTTTTTTTGCATGGAAGAAAGAAAATAACACAGGAATGTTCGGAATGACATGAGGGTGAGTAACAGATTACATAATATTAATTTCTGTGCAAACTGACCCTTTAATTAAAGCATATTTACGCTATGCAGAGGACACTTTCCCTCTTAAGACATTTACAGTAATAAAAACCTCTGTATAATAACTATTGATTGACATATATATACCAACACAACTCTTACTAGAACTTTAATAGGTTCTTATATGGTAACTTGTAGATTTGATTAGATATTATTGATTGCATTTATCGCTTGAGTTGTACTGTAAAATATGATTTGGTGTATTGCTCTTTGAGCACATTTTGAATGTCACCAATTACTGAAGAGATGCTTTAAACACTGATATCTCAAGTAATACTTCAGTGCCTGAGAGAAATCATGTCATGTAAATGTATGACAGCAGAACAATAGAATTCATTAAGGCAAACTAATATTTCAGAAGGGTTAAATTGTTGTATTTTGTGGTTCATTCTCCCTTAATAAGAAAAGATGACCCTTTTAAAATCACAAAATTCATATTTGTCTCCCGTGTTCTCAGAAATGGCTCATTATTGTTATACAGGTATTAAAACCTGATGTTCAAGTTGTTTTTCTGCATTTGAACAAAGTTGTTTCAGTTCTGTGTCGGTCCTCTATGATGTCACATCCGTTCTGTCTTTCAACTCTGTCCAAATAACACTGTTAACAGCAGTGAATCAAGCATAAACCGTGATACACCAGCAGAGAAAGATGAAGAGTCTGTTCTGGGATGCGTCAGGAGTTCAGTAGGTGTATTGAAGTCAGCACAAATACTCAAATGCTGTTGACCTCGAGTGTTCTCACAGCTTGTCGCCTATTAAAGCAGTTCTTTCATTTTCTAAGGGTTTTATTAAGGCGCTGAGATCCGCTCATATGTGAACGTGTTGGGAAAACATAAGGCAGAATATTAATATCTTCATATTGATACGCAACCTGCAGAAAATTTCCTCCAACGCTCCATTTTTAAAATGGCTTCTTCAGAAAAAGGAGGGAAGTCTCCGACCAGCGGCAACCTTCTTTTTGAGCCATGTCAGTCCAGATCTGCGCATCTTACAGTGCTGTGTAAAACTCATTTGGGTCCTGAACTGGTGCGCCGTGGCCTCTCATCTCTGCGCTCTTGCATTTTGGGGTCTTTCTTGAGGAAAAAGGAAGTTATAGAGTGTCGTCACTAGCTGGAACAAACCCATCTGGCCCCTTTGAGTGAACTGCACAAAAATAAATCAAAAATATTTGTTCATCAGGTAACATTTTTGACATAGGTTAAAAAGATTGCATTTTATTAGTCAAGAGAGGCACTTGCACAGTAAGACCAGGAGCATCTATTAAGAAAGTAAATAGGGTCAAAATGGCATATATCTGCCATTAGATGGCGCTCTGGCCTCAAGCTTCACTTCAAACTCCTCCCCTTCCCTTTAAATCTCCCTGATGGACAGTTAAAGCGGCCAATCAGCAGTCAGGCCAGCTGTGTTGTAGTTCTTGACTATTGCAGTGTATTGCATAAGCTGCCTCTCTTACTGAAGGCTTGCTAGATTTAAAAGAGTTATCAAACTGTAATTATGATTAACTAATTCAAATCATT